CTTAAGAGCTGTCATTGACCAAAGTTCTATAATGAATCACAAATCAGAGCCCTGTACAAATCAAAACCTGACATTTAATTGAAGTGTTCTCATTCTTTAAAAAGGCTTTAGGTTTGTATCTCGTGGTGGTTAAAGGACAGGATGGCAAAATATGTAAAAAAAGTAGCATGCATGCTGATCAACAACTTGTGCCCAAGAATGAGGCAGTACCTGCCAGTAAGTCATATGAGGTTTTTCATAGGTCATGAACTCACACAAACCCAAGGTCTTGTATAAAACATTAAATACACCCAGTTCTAAAAGTGCCATTGTGCCCCTGGCCATCTATTTGTCTGACTGGCTACTCTGCATTCCTTCTGCTCTATTTATGGAAAGCTGTAATTCATAAATACCAATTTGTACCATTATCATCATACATGCCAGGTACTTGTAGTGTTGAAAACTGGAACTTGTTCTTAGGGCATACTTGAAGCTGGCATATAGAAATAGCATTATACCTATTAAATACTATTAAATATGTGTAGAATTAATATTATCTTCCTGGTATTATTTATTAAATAATATGTCTTTAATTTTCTGTGTCTTGTTAAAGCTTCCATCTAAAAGAAAGATAAGTCTTCGTGTTATTGTTTAAATTTCACAGAAACCTACACGTGCTCACATGGTCATGTACATATGGGAAAATCAGTGTATTTTTCCTCACTTATATGGTTCAAACATTTAGGTCCAAGGGGTAGGTTTTACTGAGTTCCTTCTCCATAGATACTTGGAAATCTAACAGTCTGGTACTGTTTTACGTGAACATAAATCAAGATTAACTGATCGACACTGGTAAAATCAAGCTAAATAAGATCAGGTTCTGATTTTATCATTTCAAGTAGCCACTGGATAGTTTAGTCTTCCTTCTCAGCCTCCCAGTCATTTGCTGAAAAACTGTGGTTAGCAGGGATTTTTTGTTTAAAAGCCACAATTCCCAATAAATGTGTTGTTTTCCCTCTGGCTTGACATCAAAGACAGTTTCATAATGAGAGTGGCTCCTACTGAATTATATTTCCCATCAGTTTGCAGAGAAGTGGGGCACCTATTACACAAAGGCAATTGTTGACTGTACGCAACCACAAAGGGAAGCAACACAACATCTTGTTTCCTTCACATTTTTTAAATGCACCTCTTAAAAGCATCCATTCCAATTAGGAAAAAAATCACTTGTACTTACTTGCAAGAAACTTGTTAAGAGTTCAAATGTAGAGGCCCATGTCTGTGTTGATGGAAGGACAGGGACTTGGCATGCCCTGGGAGCTCTAGAGGAGGGCAGCCCAACATGTTTCACTCCTGCTTAAAACACAGAGAAAGGAAAAAAATATATTTTCATGACCAAAAATAAAAGGATTCAATGATAACATCTCAAAAAACATTAAGCAGAGTATGACTATGAAGTGACAGAATCACAGAATGACCAGGTTGGAAGAGACTTTCAAGATCATCCAATTGATGAGTCCAACTGATGCCCTAATATCTCAACTAAACCATGGCACCAAGTGCCACATCCAGTCTGTTTTTAAACACATCCAGGGATGGTGACTCCACCACCTCCCTGGACTGACCATTCCAATACTTCATTACCCTTTCTGTAAAAAACGGTGCAGCTTGAGACCGTGTCCTCTCATTCTGTCAGTTGCTGCCTGGAGAAGGAGACCAAACCCCACCTGACTACAGCCACCTTTCAGGGAGTTCTAGAGAGTGATAAGGTCACCTCTGAGTCTCCTTTTCTCCAGGCTGAACAATCCCAGCTCCCTCAGTCATTCCTCACAGGGTTTGTGTTCCAAGCCCCTCACCAGCCTCGTTGCCTCCTCTGGATGTGCTCAAACATCTCAACATCCTTACTGAACTGAGGGGCCAGAACCGGACACAGCACTCAAGGTGCAGCCTCACCAGTGCAATATATAAAGTCTTTATATACTGCCTGCTTTCCACCAATGTTCCTCTTCTTCTTTGAGTCCTTTTTTTTTTTCTGCAGTCAATTGGTGAAAACTTCAGATGAGTCTTTCAACCCAAATCTGCCTGATTTCTTTCAACACCATTTCACATTTTGACCAAAAGGTTAAGGATATGTTTTCATCAAAAAAACTTGTGAAGAGTCTTGCCATTCCATTTTTTCTCTCCCCACCCCCAGCAGTAGGTAGTAGTTAAGCTTTCATAGAATTTAGTGCTAAAGAATAAAATATAAGGCTCTCCCTACCAAATCTGAACATCACTGTTCACATCATCACTGTTCATATTATTACTTCCTGACAGGCAACATAATATGATCTCTGGATATTCACTACCACCTTCCACATGCTTTGAATTACAAATCCTCTTAGTACAAGTTGATAAGGTGGATTTCAGAGGCAGGGACAAGGTCTTCACTGTGCACCTACCATGGTCAGGTCCTGCTCCAGGTGAATGTCCTTGTGGTTCCCACACCGCAGAGAGTAACTGCAACAGGAAGAGCTGCCTTCATGCCAAGTTGCTGTCCTCCCTGCTCCCTACTCTGCCGTTCCCACAAATCTCATGGGAAACTTGATCATGGCTGGCAGAAGAGCTAAGCAAAATGCCTCAGTGAAGCAGTGACAGGCTGGGCAAATAACAAATAGTTGTACTACACTGAACTCCTTTATCTCATGGTGAAATAGCACCTCCCTGACATTCTTTGCCAGCATCTCACTGCCCATCCAACCTCCTGCACTCCTTATACAAACTTACCTGAACTTCTCAGCTGGAAACAGGACCCGCTTGTTTTCAGGCTTTGTCTCACAGCAATGAATGCTCATGGAAATATTACTAATTCCACCACAGATTTTTCCCAGATGTGATGTGAGTTGTGACCACCTGTTTGAAGCTGATTGCAGGGGACCTCAGCTTTCTACTTAAAAAGACACATTGAAGTTGGAGAGAAAGCTCTGAAAAATGAGCTGGGATAAAGCAGTAGGCTCAGACAAGACAGAATAAAATAGAATACAATTCTATTTTGGACTAAGTGAAGATGAAAGCTCTTGGCATGTCTCCCTGCAACCCTCAGGACATCAGGCTGAAGTTGGTCCTGCTCAGTGCTTGTTTCATTGCCTGGAGCCTGTTCCCAGTGGTGGGGCTAGAATCACCTCCTCATCAAACCATCACGAGACAGTGGGCAGCTCCTGGAGATGCTCTGAGCCTCAGACCAGCTGGGGCAACGTGGTGCTGGACTGGGCCAAACACTCAGCGCAGCCCCTTGCAGAGCTGCAGCACCCATTGCCTCACACAGCTCTCACTTCTCCAGATGAACTCAACATCCTGTTTAGCACTTCATTTTGTGCAGAGGCAATTGGTTTTTCACTGAGGAAATAAGCTCTCCCTGTTCAGCACGACACGTACATAAATACGTATACACATACACACACGTGCATGTGCACACACAGACAGCAGTCATTTAAAGCCCTGTGGGTGTCTTCTTTCATATTTCTACCTTGTGGCTTGAGGAAGCCAGGAAATGTAAAAAGCAGTCAAAAAGTTAGGGGAAAAAACAGATAGAAATGCCTTTTCCACAGAAAACATGAAGCAGGTCCCAGGCTGACTGGTCCAGACCTGCCAACTCACTCTGTGCCTTGCTTCCTCCTCTTCCTCCTACTCTGTTGCTTCTCAAGGGTTTCCATGCCACATGTGCCAGCCAGGCACTGCTGAATCAGATCCACTGCTGCAAAAATCACGTTCTCCACATAAATTCAGAATTTTACCAGTGCTTATTACAGTTGTTAAATTTTCTTATTGTAGTATCACACCTCTGTTACTAAGATTTTAATCAGCATTTCCACTGGAAAGCCTTACTCTCAGAGTTATAAAACCTGCCTGTATAAAGTTGATTACCACTGAAATTTAAAATCCAGCTTCTTGGCTCACAGCTATGTTTCTTTCTTGCTTACATGATCTCTGTTTGCAAAAGCTGATATAAATTGGTTTGGCAACTTTGTTTAATTCTAAGGATAAACAATTCCTGACTTAAGAGGCATTTTTTTCCAGTGTGCAGAAAGTGATGGAATGAAATTAAAGAAGTTGCCTACTACGACTTAGAAGTATTACCCTGGATGCCTTTTTTTTTTTTTTTTCTTTTATATATTGGCATTTTTTACATAGGAGTGCAACTGAAGAATTTAAATTTAAAGAATGTTTTTAAATGCTGAGTATTTTTGGAACTGTGTAGTGCTTAATGGGAAGGAAATCACAGGAGGTTAAAGACTTTCAAAATACATACCAGCACCTCAGTGCCAACAACCCATATCACTTCAATGAACTGTACAGTACGTGTTGGCATGATTTATGCAGCAATTTTAAAAGAATCCATAGTGTTTGTTTATTACCACAGTGTGATTGATGGGTTCCTAAGTGCACGGTGACACAATCAGCTGAGCTATTACGGCTGGGAGTTTGATAATTTGTGAGTTACAGGCATTTCAGGACTTCACTTCAGCCAATTGCCAGAGCCACTGGGGCATCAGTGACCTCAGAGAAACTGCAGTGAGGTGAGACCTGCTGCCAGTGGTGTCACTGTCAGACCCTCTCCCCTGCACAGCCACACTGCTGCCCCCCGACTTCCCCGACTCTCCTGCCCTGCCCCTCCCTGCCAGGGGCTGCTGCCCAGCCTTCCTTTTGGCCCAACGAGAAATTTCATCAAGTCCTGCTCTCACCATTGCCCCTTCCAAGTATAAGAGAAATATATAAAGCTGATACCAGCATAAGGCAAAGCACAGAGCAGCAAAGGCTGCTCAGGCACTGTCTGCTAACCATGCTAACCTGCTAACCATGACTCACTTTGTGACAGGCAACCGCATAGAAAAAGCCACCAAGCACTCCAGGCACCAACAGACCCTTCCCTGGGAGATGCTGGAACAACCTCAGTCCTTTATGCAAAAAATATCCCAATTTTGAGTTTACATAGAATACACTGGAACTCGGGCATTTATTTGAAACACAAACACACAAAAAACAAGAATAAAAGAAATTATATTTATCTTTTATTTTTATTTTTTTACAAAAATAAACAATTTGAGAAACAAAAGCACATTTTTCCTGACTGTACAAACTACAAAACAGTATGACATTGGTCACTTCAGCATTTACTTCATTGCTTTCACTGAAAGCAAATTCTCTAGACACACCCTGCCTTTAAGATGCATTTTATATAGAATTAAGGCTAGCATTCATTTGACATCATTAAGGTCATTGACTTCATTCACTCTAAGAATCAGCAAGCGATGCCTTAGAAAACCAAGGACCTGATGATAAAAGGTACAAATAACTGCAAGATAGTCATTAAATTAGTACAGTTCAACCAGCTGGACTGCTTTGCCAGTCTGTCAAAGATGTGGCTTCCTGAACAATTCAAACTGATTCAACAAAAGTCTTAAGCACAGGCTTAATTGTAAGCATATGCTTAGGCCTATCCAGCAAAGCACATGGCACTTGGGTAAGTCCCTGCCCTTTCAGTAGGACTATTCATATGCTTATGTGATTTGCTAGATTACAAAATGACTCTTTCAAATTAAAAATGAAACTTTATGATAACATTGGAAGCAAAAATGAAAATTAGTTGCAGTCTTGCAATTCTAAACATAAGCAGTTCCTTCCGTTTGACGAATATGCCGGCATTGCATATTCCATAGCTTTAACACAAATGCTGATTGTCCTCAGTAACGTTTGCTATTCAGCAGACAAACTGATACGCTTCAGTTCCTCTGTTGTGATTGTACGTGCCCAAATAAATATCAGTGTGGAGGATACAGGTTTCCCAGAGAAATGATCAGCTTTCATCCCTGGACACACATGTATAGGTCAGAAATGTTATGCTAACCTTGGTTAGAAAAGCCAGAGCCGCCAGCTGATTTATAACTAAAATTATACTCTAACAGTGTATCATCTCTTGTACTTTGCTTTGGGTTGTTCTGCTTTCTTTTTAAATCACATTTTCAAAATCTTGTTTTATTGCACATTCATCCTGGTCATGCAGGTTATTTCTTTAAAGTTTCCTTTAGCACTCTATAGATTAGAATGAGTAATAGTGCAATTATTTCTCCGGCCACAGCTGCCTTCTACCTAACAGCTGCCTATATTTATACACAAACAGCTCTTATCACTCACGTGTCAGACTGAGCCATTTTAGGTGTCAGTCTGTCACCTTCACATATGTTATCTTGTCAGGATCAGGCACAATATGATTTGAGGCCATCTTGAAGAAGACAAGCTGCCGACCTGCATTGAATAGGAAAGGAGGGGAAGGAGAAAATATTTAGAAGTGATGAGCAAAAGATTGCCTACCTTAATATACTGACATTTCAAATTCTTCACACTTCAACCTATGCATTCTTCAGGCCATGCAAGACGTCTCTTAACTTCAGCTGGTATAAACCTGAACTGTTTTTGTCTAAAATGACACCAAAGTTCCCCTGGTTTTGGTATCTTTATTCTTACCTAATTATGGTCAAGATACAGCTGTGCACAGCTAACACAGTAAATGAAGGAAAGGTCTGAAGATTTTAATACAAATTCCATGTGGTCTTTAAAAAAGTATTTTGAGACTCCCACTGATAAGAAAAGTCTTGAGTTCAGTGCTTAAATGAAAGACATTTGTTTGATTGTACAGAAGCAGAATCATATTTGCACTCTTGATCTTTACAAAACTGATCAGTGCAATGTATATTAAACATGACTTTCTCTGAAACAGCTCTTGTTGATTGCTTTGTAGCTATGGGCTTTAAACAAGCTGTAACGAGGTTTCTGGTCCACAGACAAAAAGCAGCAGCAAGTGACAACAGCCTGGGTAGCATAAGGCACCTGCTGAATGTATATCCAAGGCCAGTGAGAGCTGAATTTGGCAAGGTTTCTTTGTTTGGTATCTGTGGGAGCCACAGCACAGCTCTTCTATCTCCCCACACTCACTGACCTGGCACCTTATTCACATTCCTGCCTCCCAACAAGCTCCTGCTGCCCCACAGACCTTCAAAATCACTGCCTTTCCTTGCAGCAAAGACCACAGAGATACACTCCATTATCTGCTGTACTTCTGCCTTCCCTCTCTAAACCTGAGAAAATCAAATGCTATTTGCTCCCAGCCTGCCTCTCTAGGGGGCTCCCAGAACATTACTCTCTTTGAAAGTATCACATGGCAAATAGGATGCCTCAGCTGCTGAGCAAAGGTTTCTGAGGTTCTGAGCTGCAGGTTTCAGGGACTCAAGTGCTCGTGCATTAGGAATGATACGGCAAAGGGAATGACAAATCAGACTACAAATATTGCTGCTAAGTCCCATTTGCTTTTAATATTGCAACCTGAGATCGGAGCTGCTATAAGCTTCCTATGAATTCCCCTGAGCCAGAATAAATACTTTTTTAGTGTACTTATTAACTTCAATATTCCAGCTACAGATAGTCTGACATGATGACCTAGTAGTCACTGGTGAGCCATAGGCAAGGTTAACAGAAATTAGTTTTTTCTTGGTTCCATGGAAGTCCCTGTTAACACCTCCCAGAAGCACAAAAATGCAAAAGAATAACATTTCAGATCCTGTGGTTTGGTAACCTGGAGTCCACATGCTTAGCCCTCTAGTGTCAGCTCTTGTGAGCCTGTCTGTACTTTCTGCTCCCCTGACAGCTGGCAAAGAGAAGCCTCACCAAAAAGAATCTGCCTCAGCTGAACATTCAGAAACTACCTCACTTCTAGATGCTGCTGGTGGCTCCCACAGCCCAGCACAACACACTCCCCAGGCTGTATTAAAACACTTAAGAGCAGCCAGAATAGGTGACTCAGCTTCTGCTTCTGCTCCACAGCATCCAGGACCTACCTGTCCAAGTCGTCTGGTTAGTTAGGACAAAAGCTTTGCACTGGGAGTAGCTGTCACAGATCTCAATGGCTTCGTTGACATCAAACACAGAGAGGAGACAGCCCTTGTGATGGTAGGATGGCCAGCATCTGTAGTTCTCATCAGGAATAAAGGCTTCAGGCACCCGTTTGTACTCTGCAAATCAGAGCAATGCAGTCATTTGAAAGCTCCGGTAAACTGGTTGTTTTTAACAGGCAAAGTTTATTAGAACAGCTTAGGAGTAGGATATATGACGGAAAAGCTGACAGTTTAGACTGTACCAGCTCTGGTTTACTCCCAAATGTGTTTATAGCTCTGCACCTTACTTTCCTTTTCCTTTCCTCCTTTCTTCTTCTCACCTTTTTCTCCACAAAGCGTCTGTAAATAAACAGTCTGTGCACAAAACCCCTTCCCCTTCCCCACTGCGGAGGCGAGGCTTTGGTTTTATTAGGAGTTTTACAGGAAGAATGTCCCATTGAATAAACAGCATCCACTTGAATGAACTGACTCACTGTCCTACTTCTCAACAGCGAGCAGGATTGTCGGGGTGAGACCTGACCAGGCGTTCCCAGCCCTCCCTCTCCCTCAGAAGAGCATGCTATTTTTCTCTGGCTCCTTTAGAGAAGGAAGAAAAGACAGGCTTTTAATTAAGCAAACTTTTTTTGCTTGCTCAGATTAGGACAAAAGAGGAGTCGCTTGATGGGCCTCTGAAGAGAAGGGGGAGGAAAAGTAGCGGGAGCATGTCAGCGTGGTCCTCGCCCAGCGCCTCCGCGCTGCCCCACCGACTGCTCCTCTCCCTTGGCTGCCGTTCAGTCTCACTTGCCTTTATGAGCTGCCTCTTGTTCTCTGTTCACAGCGCCTCTCACTTTCCCAGCCACTAACGGGGCTTTCTCTAATGAATGCATCAGCAAATTCAACTGATCATTTATAAACATTTCTATTTAGCCTCCAGACGCACAAATTAATGGTTCCCTCCTGTCTCTCCTCCCCATGTCCTATTCAAAAAACTAAATACATTCTATATTTCTTCTAATTGTATCTATTATGGAAACCAGAGCTGCCTGCCCCGATTCACAGCCTATTCTTAAGTCACTTTGGTTCAGGCGTTTTCTGCTTGGGTCTGCTGATTCAGCCTGCTAATATTTCATACAGCACATTGTATGAACACCACCAAGTCAAAGGCGAGTGTGTCTGCTAGTCCAAACTGTCAGTATTTCAACTGGGAAAAGAAGTGCACATTCACAAGTGCTCATTCTCACCACACAGTCTGAAACAGTGGGAAACAAATGTAGTAAATACACTCTATTTTAAGCCTTAGCTCATTAAAAGTATCGTAAGAAACATTCCCAAACAAGAAGCAAAATCAGAGCTAATCACGCTCCAGTTAAATCAAAAGCAAGAAAGTTTTCTTAATTCAGAAAATGCAGATTCATGCACAAGAAGAAAAAAATTCAAAACGTAGTTCCACATTATGACCAGTCATTTCTCCATGAGAAATATTTATGAATTTCTTCTGAAGAGAAGTCAGAGCATAAATCAAATCGATGGTGAGGTAAAAGTCCCTTTTTTCCCAGTTTCTGTATCAACTGTAGTGTAATAATAATTGAATGTAACAGAATATTGTCTTATGTCCACATGGCAACTGCTGAGTATTGATTTGTACCTCACAGCCTAGGACAGTAAAATGATGTGCACAAATTAAAAGCATAAGAAAAACCAATTCCCTGAAGTTAGCACCATATATAACTACTTGTATCAGCATACATGTTACGTTGACTGGATATAAAATGTGATTATCCACAGCTCCTCTTTGCAAGCCACAGAATTGTCACCTCACACTGCACTGTGCCAAGCTCCACGCCACAGAGGACATCCACAGAAGAGTGGTCCTTGCTGTGGCAGCAGGAGATGAAGCATCTGCCTGATTTTCAGTGACAGCAGGGAGCGTGTCCCAGCCCTTGCTGAGGGCACTTTGGGAGTCTGACGGGCTCCACGCTGGGGCTGGGAGGAAGCTGCAGCATCCCTCAGCACACCATCACAGCACTAAGACAGCAGTCCTGCATCATATCACCTATTTTGCTTCACACAAGGGAGAAGCCCACCTTGAGAAATTTAATATTTAAATTATTTCAATATTTCAATTCCTCTGAGCACAGATATGTTTCCTAATAACACTTAATATAGCACTTCCCTTCTCCTCAGTACTGTTCCCAGTACAGCTCTTAGGGGTTAGACTTTCAGCTGACATACACAGACTTCAAAAGAGCAGCAATGATTTACATGACCTGAGGATAAAGTTCTCCCTTTCCATTGCCTTTTTCAAGGTGACCGAGCCTGGTAAATCATCTGGGCAGCTCAGACACATTAATCAACAGAGCTGGGCCAGCAGTAACTGCGATGGCAAGGTCCTGGTTTGAGTGCTCAAGTGAGGACGGAATCAGCCATGACAGGATGGTCTCACCACCCAGCAGAGCTCTGTGGCTGTCCTTTCTCTCCTTGCTGCTCCCTGCCAGTTCCTGGACAAGGGAAAGCCACCACTTCTCCAGTGACTCATGGGAACATACAGGAACGTGTGTGACACAGATCCAAAGAACATTTTCCTTTGGCTGTGAGATCACCAAGCACCACAGTGGAAACACAGCCACTGAAATCTAAGGGAAAGCACACAGCCACAGGGGCTCCACAAGGGCAAACTCTCAAACTCTGGCAGGGCCTCCAACTGGCACAGGCCACTGGATACTTGCAGTCTGGAGACTGAACCTATGCTGCCTGCAGGGAGGAGAGTGGGATGCAGTGAGAGGGAAAGGCAGGAAGGCAGCCCCTCTCTCCCCTTGCATGGCAAGCAGCAGCATTGGCTGCCTGGGAGTGCCTCCCCTTAGAAGCATCCCAATGGGAAGGCAACCACAAGGAGTAGAGAGCAAGATACACAATGGCCCTGGTTCCTGCTCCCACACCAGCCAGGCACTCCTGCTTGCCCTGGAAAGCCAACACGGGACCTCCTCTCAAACTGTTACAGTCAGAACTGATCAGAAACTCACTGCAACACCAACCAGGCGGTGGTCTAAGCAAACTGCACTTCTCTTCAAAACTCAATCAACTCCAGCAGAGCAAAGCAGCTGCCTTGCCCATTTGCATGGCAAAGGCAAGTATCCCTGGAATCTCTTACTTTCATGGCGTCAATTTAGGGAGCTTACCATTTAGCTCCTATTTGTGAGTTGTGAAGAAACACACTCCTCTCCTATGAACTAGAAGAACCTCCTGAAGGATGCTCCTCCACTGAGATGTGTCCCAGCCATGACATTAGGTCCAGCCCTCAGGAGAGCAGGGCTTCCCCTACACCTTTAAATTGAACACCACAATGCAGTTACTCAATTAAGCAGTACTCCAGTGGTTAAAAGACAGCTCCAGCTCAAGCTCAGCTTTTGTCCTGCCAAGACCTGAAACTTGCTTAAATGGAGTCCTTGGAATTTGAAGGCTCACAGCAGTAAATCACATCATAAAAAGGTCAAAGTTCTGGTCAATTTCCAGACTAATGGTGTTTAAAAGCAATAAATGCTTGCCTAATACTATAAATGCAGCCATAAATTTACACTTTTGCATACATACACATAGCTTGACAGAGAGTACATAAAGTCTATCAAGGTAATGGCAAGGAACAGATCAGAGAAATGCAAGGCATCCCTACTGGTATCAGCAGAAAAAGAATCATCTCCTCTATCTACTAATTTTGTGAGGATTGAAGCAAATAAATGCAATGCAGTAAGCCTGATCTTGATGTTACTTAAAATGCATTTAGTCCAGAGTTTAACACAGAGGAGGTAATAGAAGAGCTCACAATTAGATAGGTTCTACTCCAAAACATTTTTTCTTGTAAACATTTTGGAACTTCAAGATACCTTGCTATGCTGAATCCAGGCGATCCCCAAAAGTCTTGTTTTGTGATGGTTTTTATAGTTTTAAATATTTTTACAAGGTTGTTCTGATCAATCAAAACATGCTGCTTTGATCAGGCCAAAATCTTAGAAATTTCTTAGCATGTTAGCCACATCCCCATGATGGCCACAGTGATCCTCAAACCAAGATCACTCACTTGTTATGACAAGTAAGAGAGGCATCTTTAAAAGCATCACTGACCAGTGCAAGAGCTATATAAAAAAGCCAATGCTTTAAATTCTTATTCTATTTTTTTTCCATCAAAAACCACCTGCATTGTCCCAAAGCCGACTACAATCTATAAACATACTCATTTTCACTGTACTAGACTGAATCACATAAAGAGCTCCACAAGTATATAATAAACTATGTGAAACCGCCTGTGGTTTCCACCCTTTTAGCCTGTCTGAATCACCCTAAATCTGACTTTAATCAGTCCTAATGACCGTTTATTTCAGCCACAGCAGCCAGACTGCATTTTTACTACCAACTCCAGCTACTTATTGGAGATTTGCCCAGTTGTCTTATCACCTGCCAATACACTGTGGGTCAATGACAGAGACACAACCATGTTCATCCTTGAGAGAAAAGTCATGTTGCCCCTCTTTCTCCCTCCTTTTTTCCTCCAGTCTCAGGAAGAACACTGGCAGTCAACTCTGGAATTGCTTTTGATTGCTTTCCTCACAAGTAAGCAGAAAGAGCCGGATCTTGCCAATATCAGCAAAAAGTGGTATTGAGCAGTGTTTTGCTCTACAAACAGTCCCCTCTGATTCCAAGGGAGCTTTTGGAGAACAGTATTGGATCCAAAATAGACAATAATACACTGATGTTTTTAGTACGCTTCATTTTACGCTGAACTTTTCCTCATGTTCCAATAGCTCACATTTAAACACGCTTCTGACAACAGGCCCCGCAAAGCACCCTGCACAGTTTGCTACAAAGAGCGACTTTTTGGTGTGTCTGAGGAAACGAGAGGGCAGGCCTGTCCCGCAGGCCTCTGCTTTCAATCAACCCTGACGCATCCCAACTGTGTGGAAAGACAGGCTGGCCTGGCAGGACACGGCTTTGCAGTCAGACAGGAGCTAGCCCTGATCTTTTGGGGAGTGTTTCCGTCCTCTGGCAGTTTCCTGCGCACGGGCTGGGAGCGAGGCCTTGCCGCTTTTTATGCGCTTCCATTGTGCTCGCAGTAGAGCCATATTTAAATCGGTATGCAGGCTGTCACCGAAACACAAATAAATTTTGAGAGGAACGACATGTTCCCTTGCATTTTATTCCTGTTAACATGACACAGCTGGAACATTTTTCCTGCCTCATGCCCAACATCCCAGGGAGCTGTTCCATACTCACAGCCACCTCTGTGGTACACACCAATTTACCAAAGGCAACGAACCCAAAATGTCCTATAGACGTTTAAACATTGCATGTGATCCACTCGATCGTAAGAACAATAATGCTGGTGATGGACAAGGCAGAAGTTGCCTAGGGCTACATGTTGGTAAGCTTGAAGATAGGTGCCCACAGGAGTTATAAAAGACACCGCTTAGTGTTCTGGCAGGGAATTGAGGACCTCAGCAGAAAGTATTTTGCTGTGCAGTGCCAAGTTGGACAGGGAGAAGTTTAGCAACAGCAGAACACATTGCTCAGGGAGCAGGGAAATGGTTTGCACAGTGGTGGAGATACAGGTGAGTGGTGACTGCACAGCTGCACAGACCCACTGAGCTGCCAGTGCCACACGGGTGCAAAGGAACCTGCTCCTCTATTCCTGTGTGCTGGGATTGCCTGGCTCCTGGTGTGAGAGCCCTCCAAGCAAGGCAGGCTGTAAGGGGAGACTTTCTGCCCTGTGCACCTTTCCCCCTTAGCCCTGAGGGCTCTGGGAAAGGGACACCAGAGGCGCACGTACAAAAATAACCAAAAAATTATAAAGCTGATAAGATTTATTATATTATGATAGAGTAGGAATTTGGGCTCCAGTTTGTAAAGTGATTTTAATAATTCTTGGGTGGATTTACAATTTCCTAAACAGGTTGCTATAGTGACCATGCAGAATATTTTTTTCAAAACACTGCTGTACTGTAAATATTTACATACAGCATAATCCTGCCAAACTGTCTTGAGACAAAGGAAAACACAACGTGTCTTTGCTTTATGTCCAGCCTTCCAGCTTTTTTAGCTTTGAGAATGTGCTTTCAGATAACAACAGCAGCTAATTACAGCTTTCTCTGGGCTTGCACACCTCCAGATCAAATAATGGGTCATTTATTAGCTTTAATGAACAACAAAGCTATCCAATTCATAAGCGTTAGCTGATTTCACGGATTTCTGAATAAATTCTGAGTTAACTGAAGGGCTGAGGCTTAGCTCAAGGGCCAGATACTCAGTACAAATCACTGTCACTTGATTGAAGTAATAAAAATGTTGATACTGGGGCACGACTTTACTGATGAACACCAGTAATTTTTTTATAGTCTCCTTAATCTGGATAATTAATGGAATGCTTTAATCATTTTTAGATAACATATGCCAGAAGAAATACATGGTTCCTGTTTTAATTCACATTCTTCTGGATTCCAGCAAGAGAGGCCAACAGCCAATAGAATAGAAAAGCATTTGTTCCTGGTGTTGTTTTAAACGCTGCAATGTTCCCATATCAACATGAACAGCAGCGTGATTTATGACTGCAGAACACATACGCAGCTATCAAATGTCTCCCACGCCTCTACTCTAGGATACTAAACCAAAGTCCAGACCATAATATAATTTACAGCACTATAAAATCTTTACAACTGAAGCACAGTGAAAGCTTAATATCCAAGACCTTCTGTAATATGACTATGTCATCTTGTTAAACTTTATTTATGGGAACACTAGGGCTGACAAGAACTTTCATGTCACTTCCCTACTGCTTATCAATATCACCTTTCTCACTTTGTGGTGTTCCTAGGAGGAGGTCTTCCTTTCAAAAACATAAGTTCACATAGATAACACACTGTTTCCTCAATGTTAATGGTTTAGTTATGGCCTTACGTGACTTGCCCAAGATCATGATCTTGTCTTTCCTAGTATGAATTTACAATGCTCTATCCAAGATAATGCATAATTCCAAGCATTTAAGACCCAAGACAAATTCTGAAGCACCATTACCTGAACCTTCTGTAGTTCTTTTCAAAAACAAATGGAAACAAAATCTTAAAATTCTTGGATCTGAATTCTCCTCCCATTCTTTTAGGATTTCAAAATAGATTGTGCACCAGAAAGGCCTTATTTCTTTACAAACCTTTACATGCCAGGAGACTGGCATCACAAATTCTTGTCATTTCTACTATTTGTGAGAGCAAAAGTCCCAGGAGTGAGTGACCTTGTGAGACTCCTATCATCTAGAGCAAAATGGGTGCAAACATGTGCCTACCCCATCTTGGCACCCATTGGGGTATGAATGCAAAACTGATTAACTCTGATCTGGCCTGAGAACCAAATGATCATCTTTAATTTTATCTTAACTTAGTACTGGGCTAAAAAACACCCTTCTTGAACTTTGTCTATGCTGCAGAGCAACACAAAAAACATTTTATAAAATCATGCAACCTTAATTTTTTTTTTTTCCTAACAGGCCCAAAGCAGGAGCTCAACCTACAGCTTGGAAAAATATTCCAGTTGTTCCTTTTCATCCCTGTCTACCCTCTACCGAGATCTATACAAAATATTCCACCTGCTCAGCTGTTCAGCCTTGGTTTCAGAGGCAAGGATGCAATCTTAGCTGGGAACATCCTGCCAGTAAAAGCCGATTCCCTGGACACCACTCCCTTCCAGGACAGCTGTCACCCTCTCCTGCAACTCCACTGTACCACAGGAGAATTCCTCATTCCACTATCTCCAAATAAATTCTAATTAAAATTTTCTAATTCCATAATTAATTTTTAAAATTCATTCCAACACAATATTAGTATCAAATATCAGTCAAATATAAGTTGAGGATAGCTTATGGTTGGAATTAAAATGATAAAAGTGGGTATGTAGGCACATTTTAACTCTCATGATATGACTTCTTCATATTTGTGTGGCAAGGAAATGGAGTCTTAAAATAGAAATAAATTACAACACCTTTTCTATTTTGTTAATGTGGCCTTAGAACAAACTAGAAACAGGCCTGCACATCTTAAATGCATGGCAGCTAAGTCTGAGAACACATCTAATCTAAGTATATTTTCTAGTAAGATACCAAATTCCTCAGGCTTGTCCCTGGTTGAGAACATTTTCCTATCAAGAAATTCAACATTACACTCATAGTATTTAATGTACATTATCCAATACATTACACAAAGCATCTAAATATTTTCAACATCTTTGGTCAAACTGTGAAGTGCCTAAGTCTATTAGCAGTGTCCTGCAAATAAAACATGCTCCTTGCACAGCAGGGCATTACCAACCATGAACATGGGTGTAGCAGATCCTGTGTCATGTTATTCAGGATTCTACAGAATTTAATGAACACAAAAATGTGTAATTATTAAAGTAGCTAAATATGCACAGAGCTCTGCTTCATATCAGTGGAAACCTGCACTGATACATTGACTACTGCTGTCCAAAGCTTCTCTCTTGTGAGTCTTTATAAACATGACAGACCTCTAAAATTCAAAACCTTCACCTCATCCTGATACAGCAATGAAATCTGGAATCAACCAGCATCACAGAACAACTTCAGCTCTCCTGGCACTTCTTCAACAACGGACATGTTTGTGCTATTGATTGTACTGCTGAAAATAATTTTGCTGTGTTGACAGGTATCACTCAGCACAGATTGTGATGAAAAGCTGAAAATTAGAAAGTTAAATGAACACCTGCAACAATTTTCCTGCCAATTTTACAACAAAATAAATATTGAATTATTCTGATAAGTGAGTCAAATTCATCCCTGGTATCATGGCCCTTCGAGGTTAACAGAGCTACAATCATAATGAATTTGGCTCCCGTGTCTCTTTCACTGAGCAAATGTTTCACTGAACTTTTCAAACCCCCTGTGCCAACATTCATCTTCATTTAGAACCCATCTTTCCCTCTTTAGTGGGCTTTTACAGCAAAGCCATAATTTTCCTATCAATTTGCAGTCAATTTTGTTGACAGTTTGACATGAACATTGCACGTACACAAAAATAATTTGCAAAACAGTTTTTAGACTTGTTGGGCTTAAAAGTCATTTCCAGCACACATAATATTATTTGACATGTACAATTCCACAGTCATCCTTCTAGGAAGAACATGCACCACTTCGTACCACAGCTTGAATAGACATATTATGAAAAAGATACTGTTATTTGGCCTTGTTTTCATCCTGTTCTTTTTTTCTATTTTTTTATTCTATTGCTAGCAGAAGCTGAAGGACACACTATTTTTCCCTTGCAAAGGAAGTAAAAATTTTAGTCTTCCAATCTACAAATGCTTACGTTACAAGAAATTCCTTTTAAGTCCCAGGAAACCCATGGGGGGTTACAGCCTCATGATTGGATTCTCCCCAATATATGTTCAGGCAGGTTTTGACATGATAAGAGCAGTTTGTGGATGTGATGAAACACATTTGCCATAAATCTGTCATGGAGAACTCCCTTTGGATTTCCTTATTCCTACCACAGCCTGCTCATACTTATGGATGTCCAGCTACATCACATAATGAGAAGAGTTACAGGAGGCTCCCAGGAAGCACGAAGCAGATAAACATGCGTGATTTCAAGGACCACTGAGCTTTGTTTTCTGTACATTAGCCTTTGCAAACCTCACAACAAAGTCTTGGATTGTAAATTTCAAGAAAGATGACTTTACCAGCTTTCGGCACCCGGGTTGTGTTCTGCAGGTACTCCCCACTCTTATACAGATTCAAAACTCTCTCCAGCTGAGCAGCTGTCTCATCTATTCCCCAGTGAAGCTCTCCTTTAAAAGCAGAGGAAAACAATGACTTAGATGAGGAGCATCCTGCACAGGACAAAACAAGGTTTCATTTGAATGAAGCTCTAAGCATGGGAGCCCCATGGTGCCCAGCCCAACCTTGGCAGGGCTGTGACATGGGCAGGAAATCCCTGAGGACTGGTTGACCCAGGCATTCCAGAGGCTGGCTTGTCCAGATGGTAGCCCCAGGCCTGCAGGCACAAAACACTGAGAACTCCCCACAAGAGATCAACATCAGCTGGTACAGGAGCGCCAAAGCTTTGCTTGCTCACTAGCTATAGCCCAGCATCATTTATTTTCCCTTTGGATGCACACTGGAGGAAGGCACTGAAAAAGCCTCAAATCAGTGTTACAGGCAACTACTCTTGTCTCAAAGTCACTGCCTTGGTGATCAGTGAAAATCTATGGAAATGTCATTTATGCCTCTGGCTTCTGAGGAATAAAACACCACTGGTATCATTGACAATGAAAAAGTATCCTGGTGTTATCATTAAAATTTCCCTTTCCAGGGACAGAAATTCTTCCAGACCCCACAAGGAATTGCATTCTGATGCAGTTCACCCCAGTGCTGAGATGTCAGGATGAAACAAATACCCCCAATGAAGCCTAGGTAAAATATAAAAATGGGGTTTATCTGGTGTATGGGCCCATTCTTGCCTTCTTGGTATGGGAGCAATTTTATCCTGGATAGAAAAACAATCTAGTTCTATTGCAGTAAGCACAAAAGCATCACCCTCCCCTCCCAGTCTTAATAGTTACACTAAAAAAGCAACTACTTGGCATTACCATGTTTATTGTGATTACCTGTTGCATTGACTATCTTATCCAGTAATGGTCTCAGTGAGGATGGAGCACTGTGTGGAAGAAGATAGGTAAAAAAAAACCTGCAATAGAAAAGTAACCGATATTGACTTTTTTTTTTTTTTTGCAAGAGTTTACAAATATCTTGGTAACTCCTGAACATCACAAGGAATAAAATTCCTATTGCTTACATGCCACTGACCTGTTCAGGAAATACAATGGTATTCTATACTCAAATAAATGCATAGCTGAGACAATTCACACAGAGCTGTCTGGCCTACCCAGACCACGCTGCTGCATACAAGGCTGCCTTGTACCTATGTAAATGTTCCATTAATACAGCAATTTGCTGTGAAGCCCCATGGATTGTAACCATTTGCAAAGCTGTCTGTACTTCAACAAACTAAAAGGATGCCATCAACCCCATAAATCTTGGAACTGTTTTTTGGTTTTTTTTTTCAAACCTTGAAAATGCATAGATTAGATTTCTGTTCATTTCTAATAAATGGAATTATTGTTTTCTTTACTACGGCTATATTAAATTTTCAAGTTAATTGCAAGAAGAAAGCAACCGTCTATTCTTTTAATGCTGCTGGAATACGGAATGTCCTCTCTATTCCTTTTATTTATCTATAATCAAGATACATTCATGTAGGTATTCACTGATGGATGCAGAATCACAGATTCACAGAATGGGGAGGTTGGAAAGCACCACTGGAGGTCAGCTAAGTCCAGCCTCCCTGCTCAAGCAGGGCTCCCTAGAACAAGTTACTTAGGATTGTGTCCTTGTGACTTTTAAATATCTATAGAGAAGGAGATTCCACAACTCCACTTTAATATTTTTTATTACAAAAGAAAAAACAATGTGCCATTACCATCCCTTGAAGTACATTATACTCCTCATTATATATATATATTATATAATTAATATATAATTATATATATTATAATATATATATTATATTATCCCTTAAGTACATCATACTTCTCCTTTAGACTTCTACTACTCTGCCAATACTACAAACACCTATTGCAACCAACTCAGTGTCACAGAAACCTAAGATGGAGATGGACAAGTCAGGACCTGACAATATAAACAGAACTACTGGACATAAGTGTTGGCTAATGAAAAGAGCAGGAACACAATTGGTAAATTGCCCTGCTTCACATCTAACCTGAAAAGTGAGGTAAACAATTTTTCATATACAGAGACCACGTTGTCAAATGGAAACTCACAGGGATTCATGCTCAGGAGGGAGACCAGCAGATGTTTTACATAAGCACAAATTAGAAAATTCAGTTATTGATACCAAAAATTGATCATAGAAGCAAGTATTGATGAGCTGACACTCTATTTACACAATGAATATTTCTTTGAGAATGTAACTCCCTTTTTCACCCCAAACAAAAATGATGTTTATGGTTTTCCCAAGTGGGATAATCCACTTGGGTAGGTTTTCCTGATGATAAGTATGAAACAGCCAATGTAAATACATACAGGAATCTGAAGAGCAGCACAACATTTGTAACAAATAACTTGTCTGGTAAATTTTAGCTCATTGTTTTTGCTTAGAGATTATCCCTGAAGCAGAGTCCAACTGATTGTGAATAGTTCTTCACAAAAATTCAGTAGCTGTCACTAAGCTTGCTCAGTGCTGGCTGGAAGCAAGTCACGGAGGTTATTGTTTTTCTGTAGCCACAGGGCTACAGAAACATGCGACTGTTCTGCAAACACCCTCATGTGAAATCCTGACATGTACAGACACTGGAGTCTGCACAACTTATTTGCAGGAACATTTGTTATTCATCGATTCCAGGGCCAGTGGTGTCCCCTGTGATCTGCATAACACAGACTGTCAGATCCTTTTACATTCATTCCTACAAATTCCTTCTTTTTGAGAACTATCTGATCCTAATTTAAGAATTCTCAATGATGAAGAATTCATCTCAGCCATTGGTTAATAGTTCAAAATATTAATTATGTTTACTTTCAAAACTGTCCAGTGCTTTGGAAACCGTTCCCCCAAATATTTGGAGGAAAACACAGTGTGACACAATTGTGACAGGAGGTAACCATCTGAAAGCCAAGATGGGCCAGTTCTGGTAGAGGTTTCTCCCAAATGTTTTCTCTCCTTTAATTATTTACCTCATAAAGAAACCAGTGAGATAGACTTAAGTATGCTTCCAAGGTTAGGGTGTGCTGCATTTTAAAATTACAAGGGGTTTTGACTTCTAATAGCATCAGAGGGCACCCTCTAAGCCTATAGCAACAGAGCACACCTATGAAAATAACAAATTTAGCATCCTATCCCTAATGAAGTGAGGATTTCACCCTCCAAGACAAGTACTAGGGTTTGTTGTAATACCTTAGCATGGGTGGTCACAGCCTCCCACAGCATAAATCCACCCATCAACAAAACCCTGCTATCTCTATGGAATTAAGGCAAAGCAGGGGCTGGGAACACTGTGCATGAAATACACACTAGAGAGCAGTTCAAAGGCAATACTAAAAACTGTATTAGAAAAAGACCACTTCCTTCAGCGTGACCAGCAACCTGCCACAAGCCCACCACAGCACAAACATGTCCCCATTTACGACTGAGATGGATGGGTGCCTATTACAGGCTTCTTACCCAGAACCAGTAAAACAGTCTTAACCAAAAGCCAGCAAGCTAAGCAAGATCTTTAAGCCAAGCAAATGGAAATGGAAAATCTTGCAGGACACACTAAATACTGCACTGCACAACTGCAGAAGGCTGTCATGTGGTGCAGCCCATTTCAGTGTGGTCAGCTAATGCTACACACATGCTGGTGAGCGCTCTGTGACCAAAGCAGAAGGCTCTCTTTGGAGCAGCCTCTCCTCGCTGTGGTTTGGAAGGCAGTGAATGGCACAGTACTTGAAAGGGAAGCCTAAGAAATGAGCACACCACTATGGCACTGCTCTGAGATCTCCATCCTCCTGTGTGGATCAGCCAAAGTGGCCGCCTGTCCCAGCAGCACCCATCAGACAGAGCGGCAATGGCAGGATGAGCGTGGCACTAAGCATCCACTACTGTCTCCCTGGAAAGCAGTGACATGGCTCCCCCAGCACCCCACACAGCCCTCTGGGGGTGTGATGGCAGATGGGGAAGAGCCAAGGCCACAAACACAAAGCCATCACCCAAAAGGACCCAGCTATAAATGTGGACAAACCTTTAGAATCAAATCTGGGAGATGGCTGCAACAGCTGAACGCTTCCTCCAGCATGGCCAACTGGTCCAGCATGACCCATCACCTCTACTGTGGGCATGGCACTGGGAGTCACTCCCCCAGCACCTGCTCACACAGACCCAGGGCTGGAAGAATGAAAAGCCCACCCTTTAAAAGGTTTGGGCTTAGAACCCATATTGTCAGCAACTGAGGGTGGTCCCAGCAGCTCCAGGGACACACTGGGGCTGTTACCCTACCACAGCTGTCTTCAGCAAGGCAGAGAGCACTGAGCCAGAGGGCAGGATGTGAACTGAGCTCTAAGTCTCCCTCTAAAGCCAGCCCTTTGCTCAGCTGGTGGTGTAAAACATGTGAAGACCCCTATTAACTCACACCAAAAAGCTGCTGGATCATCTCACCATAGAGCTTGTGAGCCCCCAGTTCCAAAAGTGCTTATGCTTCTCTCCTATGAAAATCTCAGCTTGAGTGAAGAATTCAGTGGGCTTCAACCAACACAGAATTAGACTGAGTGGTGAATCAGACTCAGAGTATGAAAAACATTTCAAATGTTATAAATGCCATGTATTTTCACAAATGGAACAATTATTCATGGCTTCACTTACTCCTGGGCTTTGGTTCTGAGACCATATGTGCTCATTGATGTGAATAACTCTAAAGGATGCTGGAGTTCTAGGCCCACTCTAAACTCTACAGGAGTTTATCTGATCACAAACCTGTAAGCATTGTAGAGATTCCTCTTTTCATTCATGCTCTGACACCGTCCCTCAACCGAGCAGGGCAAGGTGAAGTTTCTTGCAGGGAATTCCATGAAGCAGTCGCTGTTACTAGTGCAAGAGCTCTCCTCAACACTGGCATCATCCAGATCTGTCACCTTCAGCTCCCCATCCACAATCACAAACTGCCGAGGGCGAAAATCCAGTAATGTCACCGAGCCAAGAGGAGAGTGAGCCAAGTAATGCAGAAGCCGAACTAAGCTGAGACATATCTGAAACACAAAAATATGGGCACCTAGCATTATTTTCTCAGTGCAAAATATACAACAAAACCACTTTACCTGAAGATATGTCCATAAATTTATGGCTTAATATCAGCATTATAACTTACCCTCAAAACTAAATGTTGCAACCAAGGTATTTTTCACAGGATTAACATACTTGAATGTAAAATCCTGAGAGACTTGAAACAAAAATAAGCTTCTTTACAAGTGCTTTCCCACACCATTCTTGAAGCAGGGCTCATTGTTGCTATTCTTACTTTAAACAGAAATAAAAGCATTAACTTTTAATAACATTATGCACAGGCGCTGACCACACAGTCTGATCCTGCTCTTTACGAACTGCAGGTCTGGAAATTTTGGCTGGACTGCCCAGCACCCACGCCTGGAGCCCCAGGTGCAGAGAGTGTCTGTATTGCCTCTGTACCAATCCTGCCTCTTGACTGTTTTTATAATTTTTTTCCACTGTTTCCTCTGATTTTTTCCTTCTTCCTTCCTCCTCCCAGGAAGAGGAGCTCCACGGGTCCAAAGTAACTCTTCACCATGCCTCAGGCTAAGTCCATATGTCTGTCTACCTTGACAGGTCTGCCTTGGAGGACCCTCATGCACCACTTTGAGCCTGAGGTGGGAGCTCTGTGCTGATGTTTCACTTTTCCACTCCAAGTTAGAAACTTGAGTAACTCTTACTAGACAGCAACCCTGATGAACATTGAATTCAGCCCCCTTACCAGAGTCCTGTTTTCAATTCATGCATTCCTTTAGAGTCCACTACGTAACCTATTAATCCAAATGTCGCAGTAATATGAACACAGTTAAATACTGGAATTTTTATTTTATGTATTAAATAAATAACAGGTCTTACTCAGTTTAGCAGGCTTTTTACTGTTTATATGTAATCTTTGTTTTCTATTAAAATACAATTTTAAGGGCACGTGCATTGAGGTAGTCAAATCCAAATTCAGACTAGGAGCTTAGACAATACACTCAAGATTGCAGCTCAATGCATCCTTGATAAAAAAGCTGAGCACAGCTGAAGTTATCCCTCACAGACACTTCACTTGTGGGATGTTAGGACCATCTCATGCTCCTACACAATCCTTCTCCTGGTTGACCTGACAAGAACATTTTTCTCCTACTTAGAGGACACCATAGTTCGTACGGAGATGTTTCTGGGTGTATACAAGCCTGGTTATGGGATGCTAAACTTGACCAGTCTCACCTCCCCCTTGGAAGGACACAGAACTCATGTCTGTGTTATTCTGCAATACAGTGCAGAGAAAAAGCCCATCCAGCCCAAGCTATCCTATAACATAGGTATCTTCAAATGTCAACAAACCAAGAATTTAGTTTGAACAAACCCACAGGTTGTCATCCAAAATTATTGTCTTTTCTCAAATGCCCCTGCTCCTGCATCAGCAACCTCTGTGCCCAACCCCAGCAGTCTCTGCCATGCAGACCTGATGCAGGATGGGACTGCAAATGCCCCCTTACAAAAAGGTTTAAGGACACAGGTAAAAGCTTTGCTCTGTGTCACACACCTCTGGCTTACTCAGCTTACTGCTGAATCTGTCCACACAAGGGAATTATCAATTGTAGGAATAACCTCATGGACTTATGCAGTCATTTTCAGGACTGGACCACAAAAAACTCTCACATATCAAGACAATTTCAATTCCTTCCTTTCTGTGTTAGTAGCATCCTAGATAAACAAATGAGCACAACATTATTTAGGACTTCATTGCAGTGGTCACAGGAATGTTTCGCCAGTAATTCTAACTTTCACCTCCGTGAAAGTCTTCGTCTTCATCTTCATCTACTTTGCAACTGCTCACTCAGAAATATCCACTCTGGAAAGAAACTTCTCTGTTTATTACCCATAATCTCACATATCTCTTGGTCATTTATTTTGTACATAATTGCTGTCACAGTCCATTATTTGCATTCCCTAGATGAGATGAGCTAAAGGCAGATGCTCCTGTGTTCTGTGTGGAACACTGCTGAGTACCTCTGCTGCTTATTAAGACCATGCTTCTTCCAGGAAAAGAGCTGAAGCTTAGTGCAGGGAACACACTTGCTCCAGCTGTATGAGAAAAATAAACCCTGCCAGGGAACATTCCTGGGCACAGAAGCTTAATCACACATGCACGCTGGCTAGCATGGTCTCTGGCCGGGTCTGACCAGCACTGAGGCTGTTCTCCTGCACTGACCTCAGGCAGGATCCAGAGCCATTTCCAGCAGGTTCCAATCCTGCTCACAGCCTTCAGAGAGTGCAGGAATGCCACAGCAAAGCCCTGGGCTGCACCTTGCTCCTTCCACTCGGAGCTCACTCAGGCACACTTTCAATTTTCTGGCACAGATGTAGTAACTGAGCAATCCAGAGTGTTTCAGATGGAGACTGCTGCTGCCTTTCCACGTCCTAGGGAGTTAACCTCAGACAGCAACACGTCCCCATATACACCAAGCGAGACAGCGCTGTCTTGATCAAAGCATTGCTGCAGTCTGGCTTCATTTTGGACAAATTAAGTGTGACCTTCGTGCTCCTGGTAAATTGCCAGTGCGGTGGACAAACTGGGATTGAGATTTGTGTACGTTTGTTTCACTCTTTCCCCAGGAAAAAATGAACAGAGCAGGAAATAGCAGAAAACAATTATAAAACAAACCTATGATAAGGATCAGGAGAGAAATGTAACATCCTTCTATTGTTTAAATCCCAGTTGCAAAGCACAATGCCAAAACTCCTGGACCTACTTACTTCTTAACAAGTAAGAAATGTTTTGAGATATCATGTAAAAACCATATAACTAGTTACTATTAGATAACATTGATAGACAAAATAACACAGTATCTTAAACACTACAGAAGCAGAGTGCTAAATACTGCTTTTTAACCAAGTGCAAATCAAGTGCAAAACAAACATTTAATAAATGTGAATTGTGCTGAAGAATACACAACCCCTGCTTCATAATATTATTTGTTTCTCACTCTCCTAAAAGTCCTTGTTGAAAACAGTTGTTACTCACCCGAAATCTGTCTTCCCAGGAAGTCTGTAGAAGCTGAATCATCTCTAAAGGCGAGCCCAGTTCAGTGATGGTTGTCAGCGTGTCTGGGATGTCATTGCTGTCTTGGTAGCAATAGCCGTAGAGCTGAAAACAACACAAGCAGGCATCATCAGCACAGTGCACCTTGGCATGTGGAGTCCCAAAGGAGGCTGTGGGCTGTGCTTCTGGCACTGTCTGTGACCCTGCAGGGAACACATGCTGAAGGACTACATCTGGTGGAAGCAACGTACTCCGGACCAGTTCATGAAGAAGTGTAACCCATGGGAAGGACTCAGCACTAGAGGTGTTCATGGAGGATTGTCTCCTGTGGGAGGGACCCCATGCTGGAGCAGGGGAAGACTCTCAGGAGCCCTCTCCTGAGGAGAAAAAACAACATATGATTAGCTGGCCACAACCTTCATTCCCACTGCACTGCTCACAAAAGGAGGCAGGGAAATCAAGAGAGAGCAGAAGATGTTTTTATGATTTGGTTTTATCTTTCATTACCCTATTATGACTTGATAAACCAAATTAATTTTTCCCCGAGTATTCTGCCCATGACATTAATTGCTGAGTGATTTCTCCCTCTCCTTAACTCAATCCACAAGCCTTTCTCAGTATTTTCTCTCCCCTCTCCAGCTGAGTGAGAGGCTTTTGTGGGTACCCTGCATCTAGATAGGGTCAATCCATGACAAATAGATAAAATTATTATTATTATTATTATTATTATTATTATTATTGTTATTTTTTGTCTAACATATATATGAATGCAGAAACAGTAAAAAACCTGAGGAAAGGTAATTTAACCTATGCAACACCTGACTAAATAATACTGATTTTATGCTTAAAAAATAATGTCAAATAGTTTTAATGACATTTTCCACAGGATTGCTGTTTGTGCTTTGAGTGCCAATGTGTATTTGAATGACACAGCACCTTGAAAAGCAATTGAAAGGCCAACATTTATCTTTTCTCAGCCAAAAATTGCTTCTCGCTATACCTGATGAATTTCTGTGTACAATATCATTAAAGCAAGGCAAATACTCCAAAATACTATTTGCCAGTAGCTTCTACAATTTAAAAGCATTTAAATGGCAATTTCAGCCATACTCCAGCTTCTTCTTTTATTTGCTTTGCAAGGATATTTGAATGACTTTCACTTGCACAAATAATTGCACTAGAAGAATATTTAAAGACTGTGGAGGAGAGACTGTCTTGCTTTATATGGAGTGGGACAATGTCTGACAGGCTGGGAGACAGGCTTTTAAGAACTCCCTGCCAAACCCTGGCAGAGAGGATATTAAATGAGCCAGATAAGGATCTGATCACAACTTTCCAGCCAGAATAGCATGCACATGAAATGAAATTAAATATATTCTCTGCCCCCAGTCAAATAAAACATACAGTAAAAGGGTTGGTGTGAAAATACAGCATTAAAATAAAAAAGTCCTGTTGCTACCATTCTACTGCCTTGCCCACAGCAATTTGATTTTTTAAATCAAAATTTTTCTTTTAGTCTTAGAAAGCTCAGAGAAGATGACAAGGGAAGTTCCTTGGTGCTGAGAGCACTAAGATGTGGCCCTGCAGAGGAAGCCAGGCTCAGGCAGCCAGAACTGGGACAGTCCCAAACCGTGAGGAAAGCAGAGTGCCATAGCCAGAGGGAGCGGCTGAGGCTGCACACAGCCCCTGTGAGCAGATTCCAGCATCCAGCACATTCTTACAGCTTGTGACCTCCCCAGGCAGAAAAGCAAAGACCAGGCTAAAGTCAGCAAATATGGGCTTTGTTATGAGCCATGCTGCTAGTTTTGACTCTAGCTGTCTACATTCAAAGGAAAAAAGGGTGCCAAAAATGTAAAAGAAGTAAACAATTTTTCTTTTTGGTGTAAAAATGGCACTGTATTTCAAAACGGCTGCTTAAACATGAACATTAACTTAAACAAAAAAAAAAAAAAGAAAAAAAAAGAAAAAAAGAGAAAAAAAATCTAGATTATCTTATTTTAAAACATGCCAAGAAGAGAAATTGTGATAGATGCCAATACAAACATTTGAAGTAGGAAAACAGACATTTGTCTTTACTGCTACAACCATGACAAGGATATTAACAGCAATAATTTCTCCATCTAGAGCCATTCAGACCAGACCTGGGTTTGTTCCTTATCCTCTACGACACCACTTTTGTGCAGTTTAATGCCAGGAATTAAATCTTAGAAGATCACACCAACACAACTGTTTACACTATCTGTGCTAGCCAAAAGTTGAATCAAATGAAAATATTTACTACAATATATATTGTTTTCTCAGGGAAAGTAGGATTCTGCAGTCCTTACCAGCTACTTGCCACCCCTTACATGTGTGGGCACACTAAGGAGAAGGGATGAAGCTTGGCAGGTTTGAAAACCCTCATTTCTGTGTCAAAACCCAGCTGTTTCTGCTAGAAATCTAGATGATGTTTCTGTATCATCTGTAGCTCTTGTCTTTAGCACAATAATACTATCCACTGGGAAAAAAAGCCATAAGGGAAATTAGCAAGCAATCCAGATGGGAAATGACAGTATTGTAGTAGCTGCTGATTCACAGAAATACTGAATACAAAAAAGGTATCAGTCCCCATCAGACACTGTCAACATTTGTGAAAACAACTCTGGAAACAGAAACAGAGGAGACAAACCATTCCTTTATGACTATACAAACATAATACATATATATATATATTTACATGAAAAATATTTAAAAATGAGTCTCACTATTTATGTGCATACGATCACAGGAGTAGAAATTAATTACAGTACCTATTTATGTCTATTGTATCTTGATCCATGAATGCCAACAGTAATAACAAGAAGTTAGGTTTGCTCTCAGCTGGAATTTTGCCCATAATTCTTTCCTTTTAGTGTCCTGTTTGTACCATGGCAAAAGTCTTCACTGCCCAAGTATCTGACTATATCTATAAACTAACCTGAGCTCGTTATTATTTTACTGAAGTGAAACCTCTCCAGATACAGTGTTACTACATAATCATATAGAGTTATAAAAGCAGAGAAGTCTGTGATACAAAGGATTTATTGGGTCACATTTATGCTTTTCTAAATGAACTCCTGAAACTAAATGCAAAAGGGCACATGTAATTACATGGCCGTATATGTATGCGCAATTACCATGATTACAAACTGGGCAAGTCCCAACAGCCAGTTAAGCATCTCAAATGGTTACATTCATCCCCTCCTGATGAACCACCACCCAGCACACAGAAGTCACAAAATACAGAATATATACACATGCAAAATATTCCCCAGCAATACTGAGGCCTTTCATTTGAAAAGCTGACTTACAAGAAACGAGGGTACTACCCAAAACATTTTTTTTTAACTTCCTTTTGTTTTTGTCCAATCCATTTTAAGGTCAGAAATGAGACAGAATGGTTTGTATTCCCAGACAGTGAAGTAAGAAACAGATAGCTGGTGCATACAATAACAAGAAAAATAACCACATGGGGAAACTGAATATAGCTGGAAGCAAAAGATGAGCCAAAATATCTCCTCTATCTGAAATTCTATTAGGTTGGACATCATTCTCAGCGTCACAAAGCTACACTTCAGACATATTGAAGAGTGATGGTTTTCATACGCTTTTTCAGTATGGTTCCAATTAAATGAATGGAAAGAAATACAATCTCACATCTTTTTGCTATCTCGAGTCACTGCATTTAAATGCCACCCCAATATATTTTTTGTGTAGAATCTAATAGCAAACAGTCACGATACTGGGATGCCTTTCTGTCTGTTTAGAAAAATGTATGCCAGATATGAAATGTTGACCTGTTCTCACATCATGTGTTGTAATTCATTTATTTTGAGTAGTCCCGTTTACCAAATTATTCCCTCACCGTTTGGATTTTCTCGGTCATAAAGGCTCAGTCCTGCATTAGTCTTTCTGCACCCAAAATTCCCATTGACTCCCAAATTTTTAGGCATGCTGGGCATACATGGTCGGCTCCTGTGAAAGTAATATTGCATTGTAGGAGCCCGTGTTCCTACAGCCAGTCAGTTCACCTCCCTTTACAATTCCCTTTTACTACAAATTATGGGGACAGAGGCGCCCCTTTCAGAAGAGCTGGGGCAGCAGGGAAGGGCAAAAGCAGAGGTCATCCTCTACACAAAAGCCAACAAGCTTACTGACAATAAAAACACAAAATAAAGAAGCTTATTAAGCTGTCATCAGCAGGATAAGTCTGTGCGAACGATGAGCCCTCCTGCATTGGTGTAGACACCCTGGCTGGACTTTCATTAAAATAAATTTCAAACCAGGACCATTGCCAAAGTGTTACATTTCATTTATAGAGGTTGCTCAGTCACAAACAGTAGGACCCACATTTTCCAAACCGGTCTCCAGCCACTTTTCCCAGCTGGGGCTCTGCTGGTTCAGCTCAGCTCTGCTGCCAGGCTGAGACAGGGCTGCAAAATGCCCCTGCACAGATCATACATTTCCCTAAAAATCACAACACGTTGTAAATATTCTTCTTTCTCTACAACCACAAAAACTGGCAATATTCCCTTTTTTTCTTTAATGAACATGAGATTTCTGTGAGTCCTGGAATGTGAACCTCAAGCACACTGTTACCAGCTGTGATATAAGTGACAGGCTCAACTGCATTACACCAGAAGTAAATTTCAGAAACCTCTCTTCTCTTTCAATTTGGACTGCTATTCTCTTTTAATTTTGACTACAGTAGGACCCAACTTCTGCCCACAATAGAAAAGTGCAATGAAATACTATCTCCCATGTAGAAAGAGTAACAGTAGTCAACACTTTATACAGCCTTTCTTTTCAGAAATACATGGACACAGACTTGCTTAATCAAAACTGGTTGTGTCAAGATTGTATTTTGTAGTGTTTCAGTGCCTGGGGGAAATAAAAAGCTCCTACTGGTCTTTGATGAGCCGTTTGCTTGAGCTGCTACATCTCAAAACCAGAACAGCATATTTTAGAAGCTCCTGCTACTTTATTGATAAGTTAATGTAATATTTTTAGGCAACCAGTCCTTGGATTCACCTTTCATCCTTGAAGTACTCAGACAGTCCATCCCTGCAAGAGCAGAAATCCCCAGCACAGCCTGATACAGCTACAATTTACCAATACAGGATTTGATACATTTCTGCCACTTTAAGATTTATTAATCACTTGTGCTTTAAAAATTTCCCTTCATTGCTGATGGTACATACATATATAAATACACATACATATATAAATATACATACATATACACACAAGCACATATATCTTTTGTATATATGGCATATATGTATATGCCTGTTCTGATAGCTAATGTAC